ACCCTAGGCCATTTTTCAGACATTTTCTTAAAAAAAGACATGCCCAAAATGAATTGAGTATATCTACAATATTTAATTGAGCTGTTTTTGTATCAAAATTAATGTGAGACTCTAAAGTTCACTCTGAAATTCAAAAGAGCATCACTTATGTCACTGATTGAAAGTAACAGGATCTGGAACACAACAGAAATGAGAAAAAAATATGTTCTGCCTAAAAAAATCTGCTTTATGATGTTAAAATTCTTTCTAAAATACCTAGTTTCAGCCTAAAACGTCTAGAAATCCACAGAATAGGCTCTAAACATTTGCTGACCAAAAAATCATGAAAAAAAACAAAGTATAGAAAAGTTAGAGAGGTTTTAGTTGATAGAAATCAAGGCGGACCCCTCCTGGACCATTTTGGGCACCGTTTGGCACAGTTTGTGCCATTGGGAAATTCTCAGGTAGGGCTGCTCGATTATGGCAAAAATAATAATCAAGATTATTGTGACTGAAATTGAGATCTCGATTATTTAAGACGATTTTTCAATTAATGTTGATTTTATTTGTTTTTATTCTGACATTAAATTGCGATGTGCAATATAGGATTAATGCTACATCCACAATGTTTGTTGATAGAGCAGCCATCAGGTGTCTTGTTACGCTGTGCAGGCACCACAGTGCCTCTACTTGAAGAGTTGCAGTGGACCCAAAAATCCCCGTGAGGTCCGATCATGATGTGGTCGCTGCTGGGTTCAGGGATTCTGAAGCCGGGGAAACCGGTGACACAGTGCAGAACTGAGAAAATGCATGCGTCTGTTAGCGGGTTTTGGCTGTAGTTGTGCGCTTCTTGCTGTACATGTGCGACTCCACAGCTTGAACGCCCATGGAACCGAGTTTAAAAAGCTTTTTGCACTGAGTACAGCGGTTCTCGTAGCTATTTCCTAGAACCGGTGTTACCCATGTCGCGAACGTGGGATTAGCCATCCAGTTAACATTAAATTTACCCTTCCCCCTGGTGCAAGCTCCCACTAGCTTAACCAGCTTATGTGCTCATCTAAAAATAGCCCCCTTCCACAACCAACTGAATGTGTATGGTTCCGCTTATGCCAATATCATACACAAAAAATGCTGAACACTAACTAGAAATTCATGAAAATTTTATACAAATAAAAGAATCTTGCTTCTTGGGTCTTTGGTAATTTAAGACCTTTGGAAACTGTATTTAAGGATTGTCATTAAGGATTTTTAATGCCTTAAATTTGGAAAAGCAAATTTAAGACTTTTAAGGACCCGCGGATACCCTGGCATGTGTGTTTTCATTTTTGTCATGTTTTGTAGAGCTTTTATCAACACATATCTTTTCAAACATTTTCAGAGCAAAGTCATAATACCAGTTTCATTTGTTTTGTGTGCGCCATTGTGCATGTGTACATGCATTTATGATTCAAAGCACTTCAGAAATATTAAGAGGACAATGTGCCTTTGCTTTTGGGGTGGTGGAGGGGTGTGGTAATGTGCATATCACCCCACCCTTCAAGTTTAAGCACTGAGTGATTTCTTTCTTCTTCTTTTTTTGCTCTAATTGCAAAGTTTTTTTTTTTTTTTTGCTTTACTGTGTTGCAGAACTCCAACCAGAGCAAAAGATCCAGAGCACTTCTTGGACTTCCATGGTTCTTAAAGAGCAAGTAACGTCTAAATTAACTTTTTTTTGCTGATGAACTGTATAAATGAGTGTCTAATAGTGTTTTAAATGTGTGTATTCATTATTTTAGCATTTTGGTGCATTTTCTTTAAAAATTAATTTTTCAGCCTAAAAACCACAGTAATGCGCCACCTTCAGCTTAAAACACAGAATTTGACACATTTTGAATAAATTTTAGCCAATGGCTAAAGAGTAAGATACTACGTAAACCAGTAGAGTACTACGTAGCAGCTCTTGTGCCAAAGTTATAAAGCAACGAGAGTCTCGGCCACGCCCTGTGGCGAGTTGGGAGTTGGATTTGCAAGCGAGTGTAGGACGGTTAGCGGTAGTTCAGCATTAGCATATATCATTAGCATATTCTAGTCTTTAGCATAGCTTTTAGTGTTATACATACTTATTTAGTGTTAGCTTGGCTGTTAGATATTGTAGTTTAGTTAGTGTTTAGCTGTTAGTTTTATTAGGAAAGTAATTCAGGTTTAGTGTTACATATCGTTAGCATATATCATTAGCATATTCTAGTCTTTAGCATAGCTTTTAGTGTTATACATACTTATTTAGTGTTAGCTTGGCTGTTAGATATTGTAGTTTAGTTAGTGTTTAGCTGTTAGTTTTATTAGGAAAGTAATTCAGGTTTAGTGTTCCATATCGTGTTAGTATGGTTAAAAGGTGTAGTGTAGTTGGTTGTGGTGGCTCTGTGGGGTTGCACTCCTTTCCACTGGACTTAGAAATTAGGCGCCAGTGGTTGCGCGCAATCGGTGTACTGGAAAACAGTCAGCTCCCGCCTGGTGCTGTAGTCTGCAACCAGCATTTTACCCGCGATTCCTTCGCCAACATGATGGAGTTTGAACTGGGTTATTCTGCACGTCTCCGTTTGAAGAGGGAGGCCGTGCCCACCGTGGCTCTTCCACGAATTAGATGCAGCCCACCGACTCTGCTCCAACACCATGGCGGGCTCCAGTCTGAGGTGAGTAAGCTAAATAAAAGTTAGCATCTTCTAAAGACAATTTCCTACCTAAATGCAAAGTTTGAGAGACGTGGTTCACTCCATTTAGCTAATATCAGCCTGCACTGCCTTCGGGCTAATTTGTCAAGTTCACAAAATGTGGAACGGGATGTAAGGTTAGAATCAGCGGCGAATCGGAACATTTCTCAAAGCCCTGGCCGACAAAAAAGGTCCACTTGACTATTTCTGTCAGGCTCGGAGAAAATTCGGGTTGTTTTTGTGTCAGTCGGTAATTCAGCAACAGTGGCTCTAACGCAGCACTAGTTGACAGACATCATTACAGCGTGAAATCCAGCTTTACACCAAAGCCTAACCCGGTTCTGTGAGGAATTCTGTTCAGGAGGTCGCATTTCAGGTTCTTCACATCATATGTGACTGACTTTGACATTATAATAACGATCACACACTAGGAATGTTATAAAGCGCCTATATATATATATATATATATATATATATTGGACAGTTTCTTTTGTATATTATATGACTTTATAAACTCCAACAACAATGTGCTTCTATTTTTTGTTTCAGGCTAAATCTACCCAAGACGTTGGCTGTCAGACTGATTTAGTAGTCTGCAAAAATGCACTTGTCCAGGCTCATGTAAAGCCTTATCGACGTAGCAAAGGTGAATTATTTTTAATAATCTTATATGTAAACATTTTATTATTACCTTCTAGTTTTAATTTGTTTTACAGATTATTGTTACACGTGATTTTATGCTATTTTAAACATTTATAAATGTGCTGCTTCTTTGTATTTTACATAGCCACACAGTTTAGAGCTCCCAGCCGCAGTGTGTCTTGTGACACAGGTACCGTGACGGAAATTCATCTTCCACAAAGTCCCAGAGCTGCGTCCACACCCCAGGGTGTCCCGTTTGTACCGGTCGTTGTGTTGTGAACACGACAACAGTCGGCACACTGCTCCGTGTGACACAACGGTGTTCATCCTGTGAGCACTACAATGAATGGTCCAGTCAGCCCATGGTGAACAGCATCCCAGCAGGAAACCTCCAGCTCTGTGCTGCTGTCCTTTTCACAGGATCATCATTTAGCCAGATTTCTAAGGTATAGGCCAAAACTGTTTAGGTTAGTTTTGATAAGGTCTGTGCGTCTCTCATTTCATGTCGTAACTTTTCATATTTTAGTTCCTGGGTGCCTTCAATGTGCAGGGACTGTCCAAGCAGTCATTCTGTCAGCATCAGGCAAAGCTCTTAATTCCAACAGTGAGCTGGCAGTGGCAGCTAGAGCAAGCTGATATCATCCAGGAGGCTACTGAATCTGGACCTGTGACTCTTGGTGGTGACATGCGAGCTGATTCACCTGGTGAATACGTTTAAATTTATTTATTTTATTCCTTTGCTATCAAATGTAAATTAAGTAATAACTTGCATTTCTTGAAGGACACTCAGCCAAATATGGCAGCTACACCATGATGGATCTCAAAAGAAACAAAGTTATTGATATCCAACTTGTACAGGTACAACATTACCTGATGATTCCAAAACATTTAATGGTTAATTATTCACAGATCAATGGAGAATTATGTTTATTTTCAGAGCAATGAAGTTGGGAATAGTGTGCGAATGGAGAAGGAGGGATTTGTGCGAAGTCTGAGCACACTTTTGGAGAGGGGGGTCGATGTGCAGCAAGTCGTGACTGACCGCCACACAGGAGTGCAGAAGTATTTGAGGGAGGAAAAAAAGGAAATCAGTCACTACTTTGACCCCTGGCACATGGGAAAAGGTAATCTTTGGGGATGTATATAGTGAATATTACAGGATTTTTTTTTTCTATTTTAAATGTGGGTCTATTTGGCTCTCCAGGAATTGGTAAGAAAATCGAAGAGCTGGGGAAGAGAAAGACGACCCAGGATGTGAGACTGTGGAAGCAAAGTGTGGTGAACCACCTCTACTGGTCAGCATCCAGTTCCTCCTCAGGACAGGAGGCAGTTGCAAAGTGGACTTCAGTTGCCAACCACATCCAAAATGTGCACAGCCATGACAACGCCCTGTTCCCTAGCTGTCTGCATGCACCTCTGGATGGAGAACAGGCAAGACAGTGGCTCAAACCAAGTAAGTGTAGCATGTACTCATTACAGCTGAGCCTTTACTGTTTGGTTTATTTACATTTAAAACACGTCACCCCACAACAGAATATTTGTCTTCACCTCCTTCAACATGGAGAAATATTTTTTGAGCATGTGAGTAACAGACATCACATGTAGCTGCTAAGGTCACACACCACCATTTGGCCAACAGCAATTAATTACTAAGAATAAAATGCTGTGCAGAAATTTAAACACACGAGTGCGCCACACAACTCATGGTTTTAGGCAGAACAGCCATAATTGACATAATATGTACTAAAATGCCGTAAGTAATGACCACACCTGTCTACAGCACTATTAGTCACTCTTTCATACATTTGTCATCTAAAAATGTAAGCTATGGGTAACTTTTTCTCAATGGAAATAATAGCAACATTCTAAAGTTGATCAAATTGTAATTTTTGTAATTAACATTTTCTACGTAGGCACAGCATCATGTGAGAAGCTCACTGCCATTCTGTTAGCTCCACGGTTTGTGAAGGACGTAGAGAAGATAAGCCCTCAGTACCACACATCCACCTTGGAGGCTTTCCACAGTCTCATCATCAGATTTACTCCAAAAAGTCAAGTCTTCTCCTTCAAAGGAATGCTGTCTAGGTAATGAATACAACAAATGTTCAAATTAATGCCTCTAATTGTTCAAATTTTAGCATGAAATGTAGAATTTTGCCTCAAATCTACATGGTTTGTTTATTTGATTATTTCAGATTACAAATTGCTGCAATGCACTATAATGAAAATGCAGCACGCTCACATGCAGCAACAGCAACTGGTGAGCTGAGATATGCTGTAGTGTACCCAAAGTACAAACGTGGAGACTACACAGTGAGAGCCCTGAAGACCAATCCAACCTCATGTATGTCATATATTGTATGATAAAACCAAAATGATGGTCATGGAGAACTATTGTAATACTGAAAACCCTTTTCCAGTATATGTGCACAAGCTTATGGACCTGCTGTTCGACTCTGTGGTGGTGGATCCTCTCCCATATCAGGAGTACTCGGACAAAATTACGGTTCCAGAACCGCTCTGTGCCCAGTTCCAAAGACCCGATAAACGGGATGCTGTGAGCAGGCACAGGTCCAGGTTTTAAAGTGCACGTCAGGTGAGCTACACAGGAGATTGTAATTATTAGTTAGTACTCTACTCTGTGTGGTTTTTCCTTTTCTCCTCCTCAGCCAGGCTGCACACCACTGTACGACAGAGGAGTTACCTGTCGTCATTATGGATCTTTATGCTCATCCACTCGTGACTCATGCTGTCCACCTCCCAGATGTCTATTGATCTCTACAACCTTTCTGCTCTGTGGCTCCCATACAACTTGAAAATCTTGGCCGTATGTAACATAGCAAAACTCACCAGTCTTGCTTTTGTAAGTCATACTAGTCATACTAATATTACTTTTTCCTTAGAGCCTCCTGATCTTGTAACAGAAAAACCTGTGCTCCCGGGATCCATCTCCACGTTTGTCATCACAGTGAAAGCTACCTCCAGTCTAAGGAACCTATGAAACATCACTGTTGGCCCAACCTCTCCTCACATGGCTCCAGAATCTCTGCTTGTGGTTTAGAGTTTTGTCAAAAATCTTGAAAGTTATGATCAGATTGTTATCTAACATTGTCTTAGTAGTAGCTATAATAAATGTTATCTTTAAAGCGCAATTGTGTCTTTTTAAATACAATTATATTGATATTTTGATGTGTATAAATACATATATCACATTTATTATCATTCATTTTTACCTAATTGAACCTGCTCTAGAATAGACTTCATTAATCACACAGGGTGTAAACTCACTTGTTACAGCAGCATTAATTAACCCCGAATTAGAACCTTACTGTTGTAAGAGCTCATTTGAAAGTATGTGGCTATATGTGTGTATATATAAATAATGTCAAAGTGTAAAGAAGTGCATTTACCGTTTTGTGATTTATGCATCTTTTTATGGACAGGAATCAATACAGGAAATATATATTATAACATTTATTTAATCAAAAAAATATATATTAGTTCAGAGGAGGGAGGAATCCTTTGTATGCACCGTCTTCTGGGAACTCCTGCCTTATTCTGGAGACAGCGCATGACGGGATCACAACACGAACGTGCTGTCCCAGGTAACCCCAACACCACCTGACCACATTCCGGTACGCCAGATGTCTGTAACAGCTGAGAAAGAGGTGGTATGAGTTATAAAGTATTCATAAAAAAAGTAATTTGACAGTTGTCTTACCTGTTGAGCGTAGTCTCCTGCATCTCCCCATAGAGTTGCAGAAAGGTGCCATAAACTGCCTGCAACACGTAGGGATTCAGAGCAACAGCCTCAAAACCAGGATGCTCTGTTATGCAGGAGATTACACCCACCTGCTGACACCTGAGCATTACCTATGACAAAGAACAACTGATATCAGGTCTATAAGAGTTCAATATTAGTATGATGTTAGTGATTGTGTAACAAATGTGTACATTACAGAATGCTTTTCTCATGGTGGGGTACTTTTATTTTTATACCTTGGGCGTTTCTCTGCAGCACACATTTTCTCTGGCAGACAATGATGTGCAGTGGCCGCAGGTGCACCTGTCGAGGCAGTCATACAATATTACTTTTAGCTAAGCTAAATATAGCTAGCTGTGGCTAAAAGCTACTTACCACTCAGAGACTGGACCCATTCGATGCCTTGATACTCCTGCTGGCTCGACTCCAGGGGCCTCTGACAACTCACGAGCTAGTGGCTCAAAAAGATACGGTTCAGGACCGCTTGCTTCCCCCAATAAGCCCTCCTCCCTATCCTCTGGGGAAGAAGGTGGGGAAAAGTCCTCCACCTCGAATGACTGCTCTCAGCTAGTGTCGCTCTCCGTCGCCATCTGTATTCAAATTTCAGTATGTCAATCACGGCCGTAGCTCCGCCTTCTCGGTCTTACAGGAAACGCCTCTTTGGGCCGCATTTTTCAAATATGAAATGTGGGTGGAGTAAGACTCTGAGGAGGCTGTTACCACTACTTTAAAAGAGGATCCCTCAAATTTCTTCAAGCTCTCCAAAGTATGTTTAAAAACAGAGTTATTAATAACGTGATATACTGAATGAGTGTCCAGCTTCAGTCTTCAAGTGCCACAATCCTGTCGGTTTTTAATGTGTCCCTGCTCCAACACACAACAGTCATAGGCTGCTGGAGACACTTAACTCATTCACTACCATTGACTACTAAAGTCGTCATTTTAAATCCAACTGTTCACTGCCAATGACGACTAAAGTCGTCATTTGCATTTTTTTACTGTGTGGGTGTCGAAACGAGCCCCCGCACCGTGAGAACAACCATCTCAGCTCTAAAGCCAATCTTAATCCGCATTCGTCACACGTCACGTGATCAGTAAGCAGAAATCCATGTGTTAGGAGATTGTTTTGGGCCGCTGCTGTAAAAAAATTGAGGCGCAAACTGTAAAAGCTTCTGCCCATCACAATTCAACAACTGATTATGAAAGAACAGATTAAGCTTGAAATGCGCGGATTCTTCCTGATGTAAGAGGTGAGTCTCCGCTTTGTTTTGGTTGTTTTGGCGTTGACATAATCCTAACGCCCAATGTTTTGTGACTCTTAAAAAAACGTAAAAACCGTGACAAACACTGGCAGCGAAGAGCTTTACCGGTCAGGAAACGGCTGGCAGCGAATAAGTTAATGAGTCAGATGTCTAGAGGCAGGGAAATGCTGAAGACATGCTGTACCATGACATTAGGGAACCTATTTTGTACAACCCTGCATGAGTTGGCAAATGTATGATTTTTTTTTTATTATCATTTAATTGAATGCTCACACTGGCACCTGTAAAATATGGTTTTTAGTTCTATGCAGTTCCATCCCACTGGTTGTTCGGTAATTTCTTGAGGGTAAGGCTGGGCGATTATAAAAATAAAACATTCACAATTATATTTTCAGTATTGAAAGATTGCGATTTTCAATTCAGTCCAATTTTTTATGAACACAATTTTCAAATTCACTCGATTATTCACCCTTATTAGACTAGGCATGAATGAATGAATGAACGGCGATTGTCACTATACAGTGACTCATCTGTATGACATGATGATCTTGTTCAATCCTAGTGGTAAACACACTCTGTTCTTTTAAACTTTAGACCACTAACTCTGTGGGGGACCCTGCAGTGTGGAAAGAAGTGGATGTAGGCCTACTGATTTCCACGGAGCAAACTGGGGAGATGGCAGCTCTATCAACAAACATTGTGGATGTAGCTGTAATCCTGGAGGAGCACATCGTCTTGTGTGGGCTGCACGATGTACCAAATGCTTTAGCTGTGTTGATTGGACTACTTTATTGCCTCAACATCAGCTATCCAAAGAGACTGAAGTACACCTTCGAGGTAATTCAGAAGGTACTAATGAACATTGGGGGAAGCACCTCCTCTGCTCGGGTTCATGGACTGCGCAACAAATTGCTCCAGCAGTAATATGTTTTAATGTCAGGGTAGCCTGCCACCTTCTTTCTTCTCTTGCACTTTTTAATAAATTTTAGTTCCAGGATAGTTGTAAGGGTATTATATGTTCACTGTTTAACAGTTAAGTGTCCTGATTACACAAGCTGACCCACATGCGGACGGTTCTGCACAATGAGGTACATTATTGCATCCCTGGTTTTAAGAGCAATGTGATTCCTGTTCACATTTCCAAAGAATTAAAACATTTGTGAACTCAAGTACCCCGTAAACATGGGAAAATGCCCATTTGTTCAAATTTACACTTGGCTTTTTGTATTATGCACCATTTACATTGACATACAGCCTCACCAACATACATACACACACCTGGATGCTTGTTCTACAATAAATGTTTGCTCTCAACCCAAATCACAAATACGAAGTCACCGACACAACCCAACACACATCTTTGTCCCACAAACTGACAGAAACAAGCATGCCATTTTTGTTTATTGAAAAATGTTAATTACTTTAAAAGATATCTGAAATTGTGTTAAAGTTATGCTGAAAATGTTTTTTTACAGCTTGGCGATGAACTACATGGATTGTGAACAGTGTTAAAATAACTAAACTGGAGTCCTATCCTGTAGTTTTATGTTATGTGTTTACATACGGTTGAACAGGATTTTTGTGAGGATGTTAAAAAAAAACTTGGTGTTTTGAAATGAGTTCTAAATGTTAAAATAGATGTTTTTAAAATAAATCTCTAGAAATTGACCCAAAGACGCATTTGGTTTTTATTTATATTTTAAAACATTTTGAATCCTCAAAAACAGAAGTTAAGAGTGGATCTTTTTGAAACATGTAAAAAAAAATAGTCAAGTTGACTCAACTTAAAATAATTTGTAACCTTGCTGCCTTAATATTTTGATTAAGGCTAGCAAATTATTTCAAGTCATTTCAACTAACTTATAAATCAGGCAAACAAAAAATTTCTGGTAATTTCTACTACTTTATAAATCAGGCAAACAAATAATTTCAGGTAATTTCAACTAACTTGTACATCAGGCAAACAAATTATTTAAAGTAATTTCAACTTGGATGTGAGTTGAAATTACTTTAAATAATTTGTTAGCCTGAATCAAAGGTTTGTAGAAGTTACTTAGATTATGTGGTTGATAGAACTAAAATATTAGTTGGTCTGACTGAAAAAAGAAAATTTATTCAACAAAAGAAAATAAGCTATGTGAACTTTATCCCATAAGTTGAAGAAACTTACTAGTTTGTTGACATTACTCAATATGATTTGCTAGCGTTAATCAAAATTTTAAGGCAGCGAGGTTACAAATTATTTTAAGTTGAGTCAACTTGGAATTTTTTACAGTGCAACAACTGTGGCTTAAAACAGATTTTATAAAACAAGCTGGTGAAAGTACGACCTCCATCAGCAAGAATACAGACCAGTTGATTTGCATAAATAAACTTTCTTCCTCCACAGAAGCTTAGATGAATGAGCTTTAATGGGGTGACTGTTCTTATGGTCTGCAAGACCATGCTAACTTGGGACTTTACCACTTAACCGAGACGTTCCTAACTGCCCTGATTGATGCTGGATGACGCAATAACTTAAATTTTTTTTTTAATTTTTTTTGCAAATGAGAACATCACAGAAACACACCTAGCATCACTCCAGAAGGACTTCTCTGGGAAACAAAAGCAGGTAAAGGTGTTGCTGATGATGCTCTGGAATCTGAGTCAGAGTTTTTACGTTGCTACAAATGCTGTGATCTCACTCTGAGAAAGTGTGCGTAGCTTCTCATCACAGTGAAAACTGGCACATCATCTTGCCACTACAGAGGGTGTGCTTCGTAGCACTTTGCATTTTTAGTAACATTATCTCACCAGGTGAGGGTCGCTACTCACACAATAGTGCAACATTAAACAGGATTTGGTTTGACTCCATTTGGTAGCATAAGTAGAAATTCCTCATAGATGTCATTAGGGCATTTATCAATAACTACAGGGGTACACCCACACTTATAAAGACAAAAAGCAAAAATACATCTGTATGGAATTACACATGCACATGAAAACACATGCTCACACTGACTTTAGTGGGTTTTTACACGATTCAACACTCATCTGGCAACTATACGGTGCAATACTGATTAAAAATCAAAGTTTTTAAGGTGCAACCAGTCATGTGTAAATCACCACCACGAATGAAGTTTAAGACCCAGTTCACATGGCAAGATGAAGCATGAGACCCCACGTGTCAATAAAAAAGTACAGATATATAACAGTTTTGGTCATGTCAATAGAGCTCCGGGAGTTGACGTCACTTCGCCCGGCATGCAACAGTTCAAATCGAAACGGCGCCATATTGGCAGGTAGAAGCCGGCAGCTGGACTATTTGTTATTGTCAGAAAACTCAATCAAACGGGAAATATGGTAGATTCCTGTTGTGCCCCAGGATGCAGAACAGACGCGGACGACATAAGGAATGAGCCATCTACAGGATTTCCCTGTAGATGGGTTAACCGTAAAAATAAAATGTTCCGTCTCAAAATTTGTGTGTGTGTGTGGGGGTGGGGGTGGGGGGGGGGGGGGGGGGGGGACTGTAAAAATAAAATGTTTTGTCTCAAAATGTGTGTGATGTCTAATATTTGTCTCAGAGAAAAGTGGGCACTGTCATACATGCAGTGTGTAATTCATTGTGTTCCCTTTAGACAATTGTGTTTTCAGTTTAGCTCTTCAGTGTTCTTTCCATGCTTGCTAGTGTTCACCCAAAGGCTACTTGTGTTTAAGCAATGAATGGTATGTGTGTGTCATGTGTAAATGTGGCTGTGTTTACCAAATGAAAACACATGTTCCATTTTGGGAACATGTTACGATATGTGATGGCAGGGTTTTGTTGCAAAGGGAAGCCACGGTTTAGGAATTTGTATGTTATGTTTGGGGTTTTGTGTGTGCAGTTTTGAAAGAAATGTACAGTTTTGAAAAACACGTTTTAGCAATCGAAAAAAACTGTAAAAGGAAGTTTTCCTCTCCACTGTCGCTGCATGCTTGCTTAGTATGAGGATTGCTGTAAAGACTGACACTACTCAGTGACCCGATGCAACCTGCTGGGTTCCTTATGTAGGAAACGTGTTACTCTTGGGCTTGACCTGTATTGGAAGGGTGAAGGTGTGTGAAGGTCCTTGAGACGACTCTGGTCCTGATTTGGCGCTTTATAAATAAACTTGAATTGAGTTAGGCTCCCTACTAATGCTTGGAAATGCAATTGCATGGTGAAATGTGGCTGAATGTTTCTCCACAATGCAGATGAGGATCTGAAATCCAAATAATAGGCGCATCAATTTGGACATTGTTTTGCTACCATTCGGTGGGGTCAAAGTAAAGCTGTGTTTAGCTGGTCATTTCTTCTGCCTTCACAATGTTAATGAAGTTTCTCATTTAAAATAAAGGTGCAGTATGTAGAATATAGTGAGAAAATCCCAAAGAGTCTGATGCTTCAGTCATTTAGGAAGGAAGGTTCTACTGAAACATGCTTCATGACAAGCTGCTGGGTTGTTCCAGCCTGGCAAGCCAGACTAAATAAATGTATTATTTAGTCTGGCCACGCTCCATTGACAGCTCTCGGTTGTGGGGCGGGTTCTACCGTTGTCTTTCAAATGATCTCCACATTCCACTGGACAATGAATGTGACATACTCTTGTTTCACTCTGTTGCATCATCCCACCCACCAGGCATATAGAGGGCCCCGATTGGCCCACAAAGCAGATAAAGCTCTGTGATTTGTTCACTAAGCAGATAGAGCACTATGATTGGCCCACCATTATAGACCAATCACAGCTCTTTATGTGTTTGAAACCCCTCCAGAGAGCTGTGATTGGCTAGCCAAAGTCCTGGTAGGAGCTGCGGAGGTTCCAATGGAGCGTGCCTAGACCAAGCTTTGCAAAGCAAGAATTTGGTCTAGATCACTAGGCTAGGGTTGTCCGTTTTTTTTCCTAAAACGAAGGAAGGTGGGTCGTAACGACTGTTTACCATCAGTGAGTATGTGTGTGTGTGTGTGTGTGTGTGTGGTGGTGGGGTCGTGTTTCCTGTAAGCTAATGCTGCAGCGCCCGCTATTGTAATATGACGACGGACGACTAAAAGCTCCAGTCGTTGTGGTAACCACATTTTACCACAGGATGCCATTTTTTACTTCATTTCTACATAATGCACCTTTAACTGCTAGCTGTGACCACATGCTAGCATTAATAGCCTATGTTAAAATTGCTGAATTGTCTGAGTGTGACCCTTGCTTGTTGCTAAGGGTTAGGGTTCATATGGAGGCTAAGTGTTAGCTGGAGCCTATCTGAACAGAACAGACACCAACCCAGAAGGGCCCTGGGGATCCAAACTACTGGTTGCAGCTTTAAAAGTCATGGAGCTTAATATTGCACCTAAAGTTATTTTTCTCATAAAGGAATCTCAAAACTGGTGACTGAACATTGACACAATGAGACTCGAACACACAAACTAAACCGTAAGAATGGGCGTTGCTAGAAGATCATGCCGAGCATAAGGGGCTACACTGTGGTTTCATTTTTCCAAGGGCCAGTTCTGATATTTCCTGTGGCGTCGGAACAAAACAGGCCATCTTCTTGTAGGCTTCTGTTTCGACCAATGGCTCCTCTGCGGTTGATGGTAGCCTGCTGTCGAGGCAGAGTGTTCCTTGGGAAACCTCTCTGCTCCAAGTTAAGAAATGGGTCATCGTTGCCTTCTGACTCTGACATACAGCTGTAAGGGGTGTGGTCTTGGTGATACTGCAAAGGGAAGGAATCAGGCTCTTCACAACAGGTTGCATTGGATGAGGACTTGACTGAACTATAAATGTGCCACTGGCACGAAGGAACCCCCTGAGAAGGCAGGAAGAGGCTTTTATAGGAAGGAATGTTGTTGTGCATATTGAGAACGTGGCTGTGGCAGGACGTCGCTGAGTCTTGTTCACTGTGGCAGGAGGTTTGGCGTTGCAAGCCATGACAAGAATCCATTTGCTTCTCTTGGTGAGGGCTGGGACAAGGATGCTGGAGGTCTGGGTGTGGGCTGTTAGAGACCAGTGGTGACCCTTCCAAGTGATGTCCAGCCTGTGGGCTGTCCAGGTGGGAGCTGAGCACACTTCCATCCATACTAAAAGAAGTCCTGTGGGTACGATAGTCTTGGAGGCATGGCCGCGGGCGATTAAAGGAGCGTGACTTTTTTCTGTCAGTAAGGCAGCTCTGTAGAGGGAGGGAAGGGCGGGGGAGCTCATCAGGAAGGGAATGTGGACGTGGTAAGGGACCTGGCTCAAGAAGAGATGAAATGGGAGAAGCAGAACTCATGACAGCCACACAACAGGGAGCTGTGTTACTGGGAGTTGGGCTCAGAGGACGGGGAGTCATTTTATCAACTGAGCTCTGCAGAAGGTGGGTGGAAAGCAGTGGTTGCTTGCCTGGGAGTGGCAAGCTCAGTAGGCAGTGAGGTTGGTGGGACTCTGGCTTCTGACTTGTGCCATCACCTTTCACATCCTCTGTCTTGGTCTTCGACGAGCAGCAGACCCACCAACGGTTCCACACGTCATCGCGTTTCGCACAGTGCTGGATGAGAAGGAAGAGTCCAAGAGTCACACAAAAAGCTCCGTACAGGCAGCTGAAGATCATATCCAGGAAGTGCCCCAATGAGACTGCTAAAGCTCCCAAAGCCCAGGTGGCCAGGAACAGGAAGAGGGTGAAGGCCGTGGCCCGCAGCTGGGCTTTAAATGAGTGCTCGTTGGCCAGCACGGATACTCCAGCAGCAAAGGGCACAGAGTCCCCAGAAGGTCCCCTACCACCAGTCTGGCATTGATGGTTGGACTCAGTGGATAAATGCTGCTGATCTTCACTCACAGCCCGCAGCTCATACTTCCTCTCTGGGTGGCGCTTCAGTTGGATAAAGGTGTACAGGAAGTACAAGCACATGACCAAAACCAGAAGACCCACCGGGGCAAAGAAGCCCCCCAGGCTTGCCTCCCATGCCATCCAGCAGCTGCAAACAATGCACAGCAACATGAGTTCTGAACTGGCTCAGCTGACACCAAACAGTCATGAAGATTCTCAGAACCCACGAAAACTTACTACAGAGCTCCGGCCCTGCTGCCATAGTTCTCTCCACCAAACGCTGCTGTGGCTCCAACTATTATGAGAGGAACTCCATCACTCACCATGTAGAACCTGCAACAAAGAATCAAATGGCAAAATCATTCACACAGCCATGGGAATTGTTAGAGCTGGGTATCGATTCAAAACTCAAGGATCGATTCAGTTCCAATTCCCAAAAATTAGAATCGATTATCACGATGTGATTTGATCAGATATATGGATTCAGCTCAGCGAACACTTCTTTTTCTGCTCTTACTTTAATGACATGACTATGACTAAGTAGTTGTGCAGTATATTAGCACTATTAGCATTCAACAACAAATTTATGAAATATTGTTAGTTTATGTATCGTCCTCTCAGAACGCTGACTTCACAAACATGCTGTCAGGCAGAATTAGCCATAGATATGTATATATAAACACTAGATG